TGGAAACACTTCTAAAATGCCCGAGGATTAACACTGATGCTATTTGGTGGCTGGTGGATATCAGTAAAATCCAGGACGAGCATTTCGCCCCATATATGAGACTGGTTATCTGAAAGTATCTGTAAGCCTCAGTGAGTGATAGTGTCTTCACTGAGGCTCGAACCCAGCACCTTCTGTTTCAAAGGCCAGAGCGCTACTGACTAGACTATTTAGGCCACGATGACTACCTTTTGTGAAACAGGGATAAGTTATTATTTCGTCTGAGTTTAGTTTGTTTTTCCTACTGATCAAGTGAACTGAAATGTTTGGTTTCTGTTGACATATTAGTTCTTAATAAAATTATCAACACCAAAGGACACAGAGATATACAAAACCTCAGTTACATCATCTAATATTAACTGTATTCCTACATTCAAATGAATCGAAGTTAATTAAAGTAAGTACTATCTGTAATCTAAGAATTTTTCTCAACTTCGTGAAAACATGTCGTTTATTAGGTGGTTGGAGGCAATAGGCCAAAAAAACCTTCGACCTAGGTTTCGTGCTAGTCTGCACTTACCAGTCAGCTAGGCAGGAGCATCTGAAACCTTGAAGGAACTCATGTCCCTTCTGAGCAGATTCAAAACCGCATCACTCAGTGCTACAGTCAGAGACGTTATCACTGAGCTATTCGGGCTAGTGACTGACCTCCTGTAGGACTGTATTGGATACTTTGATTGGACACTAGTAACAAGTGCCAACTAGCGCGAAACCTAGGTCAAAGGCTTCCTGTGGCCGATTGCCTCCAATCATCTAATATCATCAAATCGATGTGCACCGTGATGGCGAGCCACCAAGAATGGTGACCACATTGAAAACTTGACTCGTAGAACTCAGTCTGAACCAATGAAAGGACTAGACACATTACACTAGTTACTAGTGGTTTGTTTGGTTTGTTCTATAGATCTGTTAGTGGCAACCTCTTCCCATCTCATCCTCACTCTATCAACATTGCATTTACTCTACAAGTGGGAAGTTATATTCGAGTGAATTATAAACAGAAATGTATCATTTGTAATTAAAAGAAGAGATTTTTCGAAAAGGTCCATTGAATCTCGAAAATATTATAACAAAATGACTTTCTATACTTGTCATTAAATCTTAAGAATCTATCTTCCCTCTTCTTCCTCTTCCTCTTCCTCTCCCCCTCCCTCTTCTTCCTCTTCCTCTCCCCCTCCCTCTACTCACTCACTCCCTGATGCATCTTTATTCCCCTGCTCACCCCTCTTCCCTCTTTTGTTTCTTTTCTTCTTAGCTTTCAATATTTAGCCTCATATCTTTTCTTTTCTCTTGCCATCCTATTTGCCAATAATATTTTGACAATTAAGTTCCGGTTGTTAAGTTCTTTTCAAGTTTCTATCTTCCTTATTTTATTTATTTTTTGTCTTCTCATCTTACCCAACTCTCACTTCTTTTCTCTCTCTCTCTCCCTTATTTTCTAGTTTATTTCTTCCTCTTCATCTTCTTTTTTTATCAGATTGAATGATGAGGAGTTGATAATTTTAAGATATACAAATAAAATGTAAATGCACACAGATATGCATTGATATATCTTTCTTTTTTTGTAGAAGAGTCTTCATTTGGACGAAATGTTAATAATGACATGCATGCTTAAATTAATAATTATAGAACAAGTTATTGATTTTCTCTTATCCAGATTGGCTTCTTTTGGTTCTACTCTGTTGTTGCTGTTAGTTAGTTAGTTAGCTAACCTTAAAAATTCTTTGTGTCTTCTTCGCCTTCCAATTATCAGGAGTTAATAGTGATAAGAAGATAAGTTAGATTTCACATCATGAATCGATATCCCTTAGAGAATTATTGAAAACCGCCTGAAACTTTATTCCGGAGTTTGCAGTTATCACACCACCATGGAGTCGAACCTAGGATCTTTATGTCGTGAGATGAGTCCAGTAGCCATTCCGCCACTGGGATAGAATCCCAAGATCCACGAATTTTTATTCTCTACTAATGTGTAATGTTAAAATTAAGTGATTTTAAGGCTTGGCAATTTGTCGAAAGTCATAAAGTTTTAATGGTATTTTTCAACAGGAGAGATAATATACAATGTCCCTCATGATAACTTCTATTGACATAAGAATCCTTGAGGGGTCGGAATTATTGGTAATATTATGAACCTCATTTTTCCAGCACAGTTTAGAAAAAAAGGGATGATTTGTAAGATTAAATCCTCATGACAGATGCTTAATACATATTAAAGAAGATTATTAAAGTATCAATAAAAAATTATCAGCTTAGAGGGCATTTATGTGGGGAAACCAGTCATTCAGAAGCAACCGACATCACTCTATTTAGGTCTTGGTGACTGCTAGATTCTATGAGTCAACCTAAGAGACTGGTTTCTACTACTCATTTGAATTTTATATTCGATGATTTGAAACAGTTAATCAGGAATCTGTGGACTTAGGCTTTCCAACTGTTGACATTGATCAGCTAGGCGCATCTGCGGTATCGAATAAACTATAGTGGCCCTAACAGTTTGAACAATCCGTTCATCATTTTATCTGTACTTCGCAATTTTTGTCAATTTTGTAATGGTCAAGTTCAGAATGTATAAATCAGTTGGTCCCACACACAAGATGAAATATTCAAAACACAAATGTTGGGATTTTGTGCAACTCATTTGGTAGTAGCATTACTTAACCATTTTTCAAGTGTTGTTTTACAGGGATTCAGTCTATTTCAAGTTTGATTGCGAACTAGCTTCAGCTAGAAAGGTAATGGATACCATAAAGTAGCGGATTGCTCTCATCTTAGTTTGATATTCTTTATCAGAATGCACCCGTTTCTCTACCTGGTAATTAACCTGTTAGTCACTCGTGACTGCCTACAGGATGAAGTTGTCTGAAGTCCAAATGAGAAGTTGTAACCAGAGGGGTCCACCAAGTCAAATAAGTGAACAGTTTCTCATCTATCACACTGGCTGGTGGTTGTGCCATATATATATATATATATCGCAGATTATCAGAAGCTGGAATTCATGGGTTATGGGATAAGTTTCCAGTGGCTGAATAGTATAAAATCTAGCCTTGTAAACGTTAGGTGATGAGTTTGAACTCTAATGAGTGCGCAAACCTGAAGAGCCCAACGCTAGGACGAAACAGCTGCCCAGCTCTTCCCAGTTTCCCAGTGCTTCTCGAACCGATGTCAGCTCATTATTAAACCTGTTACCTAGAAAATTTTGAGTCTCATAAGAAAACAAATCTAATTAACGAATCAGTTACTGCATAAGAAAACATGAATCTAGAATACGAAAGAATCTAGTTTCATTTAAGCACCACTTAGTCTAAGTCTAGGTGAAGGATATTTTTCAGCAGTGAGTATTTATGAACGACTATTGAAGCCTAGTATCCAGGGTCTGCTGGTTCGAATTCCACTACTGTTTAAACTTCCATTTTACGTCTGATTTTTGCCCGATGCATCAATATCGGTCTGTTGATCAAGGTAACCTCTGATCTCTCATAGACTCTCTCGGAGTAATGCTATCACTTTTGTTGGGAATTGAGGAAAAAAAATTATATATGTGTATGGATGTTAGTTTTGTGAAATTTTTATCGACCTTAGGAAAGGTTTTCTTGATGACACAACACCAGCTCACTCTGAACAACTGTTTTGTATTAGGAGAAAACTGCAGCGTTGAAAGAAAATATGCCTCACCTATATATACCTGAGTTGCTTTATGCTGGCAGACTGCTATTAGTGCTATGGATGATGATTCAATGTGGAATGAAAATCTGAATCGCTAGGCTGTTTGAAACTATAGCCTCTGGATTATTACGCCAGTCAACTTGAAACACACAGCTGCTGACTAGGTGACCACTTCACTGCGAGTATCATGAGTAACACTCAACTATCATATGAATGAATGTTATGTAGCTGTCGGTTTATCACTACATTGACTACCCAGCTAGATCTCACGTCAGTTATAATCATATCGAAATCAGAAGGAGAAGTAAGATGTCAGCAGATGGTAATTGAAATTCGAAAGAAAATCTGGACACTGGTGGGATCCAAATCGCTGACTTTTGAATAACAATGATTAATTCTAAAAAATCCTCTGAATTCTTCTGTCATAATAGTGATATTTTGTGAAATTAAAGTGTAAATTGCCTCAGTAATTGTAATCTACACTTCATATCAAGTTATTTTGATCGGTGGTGTCTAGTAGTGGGATCGTGGATACGAGCCCCAACTAGGACGAAATCCGCCTCCTGGATTCTCCACTGCTAGTCACTGTCAACCAAAATAATTTCATATTAATCCCTAGACATCAAAGCGTCCGTACTAAGAGCCGATATGTCAACAGACGCCCAGCATTTTTACGCAGAACAATCAATCAATGAGAAATACAAATTAACCTAAAAATGAAAAAGAAAATACCCCCTACAAAGTTGAGTCTCTTCAAGAATGACTTCAAGATAAATTCTTCATTTTTTTATTGTAATTCCTGAGTGTTGTGACTCACTGACAAGGTGTGTCTGTAATCTGAAGAGGTTTCATTATCCTCCTATCGAGTTACCTATCTTTGTTAGGCAACAGTTGCAATGTGTGCTACTCAAAAGATTTTTAAGTAGTATAAAGAAGCAGGCATAAATATGTACATCAGTGTTCTGAGTATCGAATGGCGGAGAGAGATGGATTTAATGAATGATGCTTGAGAAACAACCTGGAAAACATGACAGGTAGGCAAAAAAGAACAATACGAAAGACAAAGTAGCATCAGAATACCAAACTTATATATGTCAATTGTAATTCGACTATACAGCAGAGGTATTTTACCCATATCTGTTTATCGAACTGCAAATAAATAATTCCGTTACCCAGTGAAGTCGATCAATGCCTATTTCTTCCTTCTTAAAAAAAAAGAAAAGGTTAAATAAATAGGACATATGTAAAAGTTATTCAGAATATACATGATTGTTGATTAAAAACGGTTAATTTACCCTGTTTGTCCTCGATTATACGGATGGGATGAATTATTAGTAGTAGTATTGTTGGTACTATTATTTGATGCCCAATTTAAATGTCCTAATCTTGATAGATTTTCTGTACATTCATTGATATTTCTTGGATATGACGGTGGTATTGTTCTTGAAGACGAATGATTCGATTGAAGCGGTGTAACAATTGAATGTGAAACTAATCTTGGAATTATATTTTCATTCAAATTATTTGAAATAACTGACGCAAACGGCGGTTCTATATGTCGATTATTTAATAAATGTTCATTAGTTGTTGTAGTTGGTATACTACTCAAATGAGGAGTATGTTTGGGTGTATTATTATTATTAGTTGTAGTATTGTTTAAATTTTGATTAAATGTTAACAATTTCTCAGTACTATAGTTATCATTAATATTATTCAATGGAGGGATAGTTTTATTCATGATTGATTTACGTAAATGTTCAATATCTTTATTTAACATTGAATGATTGATTAATTCATTTTGCGCACTATTTAAATTGAGACGATTAGATTCTTTAATAAAACCTATATTATTATTACTAGTATTGTTAGTACTGTTGTTATTATAGTCTGAATAACGTGACAAGTGTTCAAAGGGTAATGAGGATGAAAAATAATTTTGTAATGGTGATGATGTAGAGCATGATGAATAGTCTTTAATTTGCTGTCGATGTTGTTCCTCTTGGAGATGGGGATGCTGGTGATGAAGATGTGGGCTGTTTAAAGGATAATGCGACTGGTGGTGATGATGATGATGATGGCGGTGGTGATCGCCTGTAACAGTACCACTATTATTATTTATGGTAGTACTAGTATGAATATTTGGATAATTCAGAGTATACTGACTGGGATATTCGAAACTTGATTGAAATTCTTTAAATTTATAGTCACTGTGATTATTATTTAATTGAATGCTTTCATTGGATTCGTTCGTTCTAAAATCATTCTGTGTCGGTATATTTTCATTTGACGATAAGGCTTGATTGATGCCATATTCTATGCGTTGAAATGATGATGATTTATCCAAAGGATTCAATATTCCTTGTGATACTGATGTAGGTATTCTTGTATTTGATGAAAACTGTTCTGATTCATGTTCGTTTAACGCATTCAGTGTGTTCAAATCATTCGGTGAAGAATATCTTTGTTTTTTAACTAATGGTATCATATCTGTCGATTCATGATTTATTAAACAAACATCTTTCATATTATTACTATTATTATTATTATTATTATTAATTTCGTTTAAATATGTATCATTTTCTCTGCTTTCATAATTGTTATTATTATTATTATTGGTGGTGGCGTTAATTGAACATTGATCGTTTGTTTGCTTAAATGATGACATTTGAGAATAAGATTTATCTGATATTACCATAGATGATGGATTATAACAGCATACATCAACATCTCCGTCACCATCTCCATCATGATCACCGTCGTCATCATCATCGTCTTCGTCTACTGTATCATTTGTATTTTCATTATCTTCTTCTTGATTAGAAATATGAATAGCTGAAGTATTTTCTGAGTTATTATTATTCAGTAGTATATTTGTTTGGTTTAAATTTTTACTGGCATCATTTATTGATGTTGTTTTCGTTGTTGTAGTTTGAATGAAATGATCACTGGAATTCATCAGTTCATTTAACATGAGGTAATTTGAATCTTCATGGGATGGTGATGAGGATTTTGGTCGATTAAAAGATAATGATGGTGATGAAGAGGAGGAGGAAGTCGAGTTATGCAGTAGTGTTGTCTTTTCATATGAATAAGAAGTTAACTTCGACTTTTTATTTGGATTTTGTAATTGATCATAAGTTGATGTCATATCTAATAGTGTTTTCGACTGACTGTTGTCATCCATGTGTTCTTGAGGTAGATATCCAGTCTAAATAAATCAATAGGAAGAAATTTCAATTACAGTAGTGTTATTTTTTTCCCCTATTGAATCAAAGAGTTCTCGTGACATTAATTATTGAATTGTACGCAAATAGAATAGGTGGTTGTATTTAGCATAATGGTAACATGGAACTGAATTTTGGATACGATTATCCCAGTGTAGATAATTAGCCGCATATATATATAAGTGCTGGATACTTACAGGCACTAGAATTGGGATATTGGAAAGGCGGTTTGCGGATCAACAACTCTGTACTCTTTTGGTATCGACGGATTTCACGCAGGGCGATGGTTCTGGGCCTGTATCTGTGTGGTTTCTTAACACCACCGGTAGCTGGTGCGCTCTCACAGGCAGCCTTGGTGGGAAGCTACTTTCTTGGGGCCTTTCCACCAGTAGATTTGCGAGCAATTTCCTTTGTACGAGCCATAGGGAAACCTCAACAATGTCTTCCTCTAGATAAATTTCATCAGTCAGAGGATCCTTGTCAACGCAAGAACATCGCTTCCAGTGCGAACCCATGACTGGATAAATAGTTTTCCCTTTCAGTTAGCAGATTACAATGACTCATGAATTCTAACTTTTGTCAATAGTCACTCTATAGCTCTAATCAACTTCAAATTCTCAGTTTACAAATTAATTCGTAATTCACACAGTTCGATGTGAGATTTCACCAAGGTTTTGTAGGTACCCAAAATTATTCAGATCACAGTATGTGATTCGCTTGATACTATAAATGGCAAGCAAGATAGCAAGTCTAAATACATAAAAGTATACATGCCGCTGATTGGTTGAAATTACCAAGTAGCTAAGTAGAAGATGGGTGCTCTCAGCCGATTCGGCTCTCCGAACTGAATCAGACTAGACGAACAAAACAGATGTCTGGTATTTAGATCACTTTGTTCTGACTAGTTGGCAAACATTACTGGTTAGACGTGGGAGGTGTAGAACTACTCATCTCATTCAACCGATAGTATATATGCTTAAGCATCTAACTAATGTGATTACTTGTGACTTACTTCATATCCTATGTCTGTTTGTGATGAAATCTACAATTAAACTATTCGAATCTCCAAAAGAACAAAAATTGGAATGTGTTTTTATTATGTGTTCTGTATTTTTTTTCAGGATTCTCAAATGAGTTGAAAACTAGCAATCGGTAAAAGATAACTTCCATCTCTTCACGATATAATCTGGTTGTCAACTAATGTTACCAGTGAATATTCGCCTTCACAAGAATGAAAGTCTACGTATTTAAATTTGATGTCTAGTATAGCTAAAGATATGACATCATTAAAAAAATGACGCAGTATACACAGAGTAGGCACTTAATTGTAAAATATAAAAACGGGAGCGATTGTATGGATTATCCCACCCCCCTCCCTTTAAACTAGCGCCAGCTTGGTAAACCGCATTACTTCACCTTTCTTTTAAGAAATAATGGAAAGGCTGCTATTACGTAACCTTGAACCTTCATTGAAGGCTTTTAACTACCCCCCCCCTAATCAATTTGCTTATAAACATAGTAGGTGTACTTTAAATGCCACTGTTATCTTATATCATAATATTGTCCCTACCCTAGATAGAGGTACCAAATATGTTAGATGTGCCTACCTAGATTACACATCTACCTTCGACTCTGTGCCTAGGCCTTTTTTATTGAACAAGCTTGCTGCGTCACAAGCACAGTGATCGACTAAGAAGTGGTTGCATTCCTATTTTTTCTGATAGGAAGCAATACACTGTTCACAGTGGGAAGTCATCCACCGCTTCACTAACTCTAGCTGATGTTCCTCAGGGAGCTGTACTTTCTCATTTTTTTCTTTTCCCTCTTCGTACATGATTTGCCCCATTCTGACGAAGCCAATTTTGTTGGGTATACCGATGATCTGATTGTTGCTATGCCTGTTATTCCTCAGTCAGACTGTTCAAAAATGAATAACTTTTTATCAGAAATCAGTTATTGGTCCTCGACCTAAGCTTAATCCCTCTAAATGTTAGGTTGTTAATTCCACTTTCAGACGGAAGGGTGACTTACATGAACTGGTTAGTTCACACGGTTCCACCATCATAGGCGGCACTGAAGTTGAAACTAAGTGGAATGTTGTTAAATATCTTGGACTTTGTATTTCCTCTAACTACCTTTCCTGATCTTCCTACATCATATTAGCTCCCAGAAAGATATTTCATTTGACGTTCTATGTAAGGAAGTTAAGACGATCTGGTATCATTCCATCTCTACTGTGACCGTTTGTTAATTCTTGTATTCTGCCCATAATTCTTTACTGACCCCAATTAATCTTTCCTTGGCTACTCAAGAAAAACTTTGTTATACTGCATAAGGCACTAAAAGCCGTCAGTAGGGGGTGTTGCTAAACCAACTCCTTAATACTGTTGCAGATAGACAGATGAACTCATGTAAGAAATTAGCTAATATCATCCTGTCAGACTCTGAACATCCTCTTACTATACACAACTCTGTCCTTGCATCTCATTAGGCAGAACTAGAAGCAATTACAGAAGATGATTAAGTACAAAAACTCTGTAATACCTAATTTAGCATACATTTTATGTGATCAGAAAAGTGTGTACTGCAGCAAATAACCAACTTACTGAGGAACTCTTGGTAAACGGCAGTGTTTTTTTTTCGTTCTCACTATTACATTGTCTCTAGTATTTTCACTTGATTTAATTTTGTATTCACTTCTCTGATTGTTTGAAGGATTTCATCATGAGCTGACATTAGTTAGAGAACCATTATAAAAACCTGCAGGGAGTACTGGACAGCTGTTTCGTTTTGACCTGGGACTCTTCAGTAGTGCGCACCCGCACTGAAGGGGTTCAAACCCAGGACCTTCTGGACACAAGGCGTACCGATGAAGAGTCCCAAACCGGGACGAAACAGCTGTCCAGTACTTCCTGCAGGTTTCCCAATGGTTCCCTAACTGATGTCAGCTCATGATGAAGTCCTCCAAACAATCAAACTAAATTCCTACAAAAAACCAATACTTGAATATTCACTTCTCATTAGTAATGTTAATTATTATTAATGTAAATGCCTTATTTTAACTATTACTCTTGTAATGAAAAAATAAGTTGCAATATTGTATTACATGCTGAAAGTTCCATATTTATACCAAAAGTATTGTTTGGAATAAAGCTATTATTATTATTACTCTCTATTCGGCTGTCTTCAGTCTATTTTTCTTCCTTCACGTTCCCAGTGGAACATAGGGCTTCGAGCTAGTGGCCTAAAGTTTCTGTAGCAGTGTTTACTTTTACAGGATGGGGTTTCTAGCCTCATGCCCAACCTTCCCTCTTTACCAGCATTATTACTGGCTTAGCGAGGTAAAGGAGTGCGTCTGTAGCCGGGGATCGAACCCCGGCCCATGTGCATGGCTGGCGAGCGTCCTAACCACTGTGCCACCGACGGACGTCTTCAGTCTATAATCATGCCATATATAAAAGAGGGGAAAAATCAAGTAATAGGGACGATAGCGATGACGTTCTATTACCAAACTAGACAGCGTTTTCAAACATGTCATATTAGAGAAAGTGAAGCTTCTCAATTTTCCCCAACCTTATATCAAATGATTTATTTATTTATTTATTTTTATAATTACTATTAGAGATAATACTACTTAAATCATACTAACAATAAAAATTATTGTTAATCACCATTAACTCATCTCTAATATATATATACAATAAGTGAACTGAATAGTTTTCTTGTTTATTTTCTAATTCTGAGAAACAAATTTTTCATTTAAAACATTGTAAAACAAAGTGAGCAATAAAATATCTATCTATATACGTGCTCAATCATGAATTAATCGAAAGCACCCCTAAGTTGTGGTTACGCAATCATATATATATATTTATTTAACATAAAATATTGCATAATCATTTACAATATAACAAAACGAGATTAACATCTTTACACAACATTCATACAATCTAGACGATTGATTGTATAGATTTCAGCTGGTTGTTAGATTAACATTGCCTAGCCTACACTGTCTAGCCTAATCCACACTTTAATTAGATCTAAACAAAATACGGAGAATGAATATCGCTCAGGACAAATGATGTTGATACTGTTGATGATGATAGTCATTTGTAGTGTTACAGAGATCAGCTGTAAGTAAAAGTCATGTATAATATATACAATTCTTGTTTAAGGGAGGAGAGACAGGGTTAGATGGATCGACAGTTTCTAGCCTATTTGTGTAGAATCGACTCATCTGATTATATGATAATTTCGAATTGATAGAGTGATGACATCTGGTAGCACAGTTACACACATACACCCACACACACACATAGAAGTCTGCATACAAATTCGAATGACTTTCAAACACATTTTTATCAAGAATCGATACACTGTTCACAGAATCATTGGTAATTCAGAAAACAAGGGCCAAATAATCTAAATGCATGATCCTCTACACTACAGGTTGGTGAGATGACTAGTTGTATAGTATTCATATCAATCAGTGATCTAAACATCAGACAGTGGTCTACCGTGTTTTAGGAACAGCTCATCAATGGTGTAGCCAGTTTCACTCAGCTCCCAGAGGTGAATCGATTCAAACCACCCAGAATTCTGGTTAACTACTTAGGTGAACTGGCAATATACAATGAGTCGTATTCGCAATTTTCAAATTCCGCAGTTTGAAGAGGTGAAATTCCATACTACAAGTAGTAATCAATAAAGCAGGCACAAATGTATGATGATGTATACTATTGATTGCTTCCAAAGGAAACTGTGGTGAAGTTTCACCTCGAACTGTGTAGGAAGTAACAGTTGTTGTTGTTGTTTTTTCAATGGCATCCTGTTCCATTGGGGTTTTTTCAGTGGTCCTGTAATTGATGTCGTTCTGCGATGAAAACCACCTTGAAATTCGCAAGAAGTGACCCGTTTCAACATCCTTATACGAGACATTTCTCAGTGATGGTTAACGAGGTCGTCCGAATTTTAGTCAAACACC